TCAAAAACTCCAGCGAACCAACCCGCTTCAGGTGTATGACATCATCAACGACTAGTCAAAGTCGACTCGATTTCCATTGCTTGACTGTCGGTCGACTTTAACCCTCCCACTGTCCTAATGGGTGTGACCCCCTGAGGAAAGTTGACCAATGAGCAGGGTTGATGGTTTATCCCTTGGGTCCATGTGGCAGGGGTGAGGAGTGAGCACCACCTCACCCCTGCCACATGGACCTCAAGGGATAAACCATCAATCCTGCCCATTGGTCAACTTTCCTCGCGGGGTCACACCCATTAGGACAGTGGGAGGGTTAAAAAAAATTAAGTCATGCAGCCCCTATTACCCAGCGAACGTGCAACATGGTTACCACAGACATGCTGCAGATAAATGTTGCTGACGGACAGAGATGTCAAGAAGCAATAAAGTACATTGAGCCGGGTACAATATCCCCTCTAGACCAGGCGACGGGAACCCTGGTCCTCGAGGGCCGGTATCCAGCACGTCTTTGCGCCAACACTTCTGATTCAGTGGTTGATTCACCTGTTCAGCAGCTCATCAGGCTCTGCAGAAGCCTGTTAATCACCTGCTGATTGAAATCAGGTGTGTTGAAGCAGGGTTGAAACTAAAATATGCTGGATTGCGGCCCTCCATGGACCAGGGTTCCCCACCCCTGCTCTAGACCAACCATAACCAATAATCTTTGATTAAGGAATAAGATTTGCATTTTTTCTTTATATGATATAGAAAATAGCATTTTATGTTACACATACAGTAGATAGAACCTATTCAGAGGGAAATCAGCTTTTCAGAAAAATTGCCGCTTATCAATTCGATCGATAAGATGAAACAACTATTAATTAATGAATTACTCAATAATTTGCATCCCTATTTAAGATAAATGACATCTCATTAGTGCCAACGGTAATATTTTATCATATGTTGTGTCTGTCTTTGCTCTCAAAGATTTAAAATAGCATGATGTGGAACCTTTAAAGCTAAAATGTCACAATCTGCCCCTGCCTTCTTGACTGTGTCTCTCCTGCCCTGATTAGTCCTTATTGTTCTCACCTGCCCCTCGTTAACCTGCCCATGTGTTCTTGATTTCCCTGTGTATATTTATACCTCCCTCCTTGTACCAGTCTTCGTCGGATCATTGTATGTGCATGTGCTTGTTTTGTCCTGGCGCTCCCGTTCCACCATTAAAACCTTTTTTTTTTCATCTTAGGTGTGTTCTTAAAATAATATCAGCTGGACAAAAATGTGGAGTCATTTACGAAATCCCATGCAAACTCTGCAATAAAACATACATAGATAGGAGAAACCGGACGCCAACTCAACACATGAACAATAGAACACAGAAAGGAGTGCGAGAAAGAGGCAAGTCGAAAACACACAAGAGCAGCTAAAGAAGAAGCAGAAAGTACAATAAAAAAGTCAGCCGTAACAGATCACTGCACAAGAGAAAACCATATAATGGACTGGGACAACACACGGATCATAACCACTGAACAACAAAAATACAAAAGATGGGTCGAGGAAAAAATCGAGATAAGGAGACGTGGATGTGGGACCATGAACAGGGACGACGGAGTTTACACGTTGGACCACGCATGGGACTGCATCGTCGGAGAGGGGAGAGCGGGCAGCAGAGGGCGACAACGTCCTCTGCTGCCCGCAGATAAACGGAGAAGGAAGTGACGCGCCACCATCAGCGTCAGCCTGAAGCAGCCGTCGGCAAAACTGTAGCGTCAATAACAGGTAACAAAACCGTTTCTGTGTTTTAAAAAAGAACGACAACATGGAATTATTTTTCATCCGTGCCTGCTCTCCTGCCTCCTGAACTCTCCACCACACATGGTCCATCATCTCCACACCCGCAACAAGACATAAAGAGTTTAAAGCTTTACTATGGTGACACTTCACAAGTATTCCCTAAAATTTTTATAACAGCAATAAAACCTACAGACGAAAAAAGACACGGCATCCCTCAACTAAGACACGGATTTTTGTGTTCTGGGATGAATAAATGAAAAGTCGGAGATCGGATAATTAAGATGTGCACATCTGGCAGGTGATCTGCATCAGTAATGTCGGCGCAGTTTCAAAACAAATCATCAGCCTTATTATAAAAGCCATTAATCTCCAGAGGTATGCTGAAACCAGGAAAAAGCCCACGTTTTCAAATGAACGATGTATCCACAGGTGATAATAATAAGAAAATTCCCATTAATGATTCAGTGGCTGGTTAAATTTTGATGAGAGGTCCCTGTGGAGTCATTAAAAAGCCTTCAGATGTTATCTCACCTATTAATCTCAATTTAATCTATGGATAAAATAATCAAGAATCTTCCGTTGTTCTAATCAAACATTTTCAGGTATTAATCGCTGCACAATTAGAGACTGGAGCTGTTTTTAATAAGGAGGTGCCGCCCAAACGTGAAGAAGGCACGAGTGATTAGATAGATCAAAGTTTTCCAAATGTAATCAGATTAGTTTTCACAAAGGTTACAGGGATTAAACACAGTTGATCCAGAAGCAGTGCTGCTTCCCTAATGGAGATAACACTAAACACAACTTTATTTGTGCCACAGTTGATTAGCTAGCTTACATTCAACCTTCAATGTCAAAGTTTATGCAAAACCGTAAATTCATGAAAATAATGTCAAATATTCAATCAGAATGTGCTGGTGTGCATCTGAGTTTGCCACCTGGCATGATTCTGTGACTAGATTTTAGATGCAGATTTACAGGTGAGAGGAGTTCTGAATCCTACAACAACAAGAAACGCATGCTGTGTGCAATTATAGGCCTAGAGAAAGCCGAGTGAAGCAGCTGGGATGAGAATCAGCTCCTCGAAATCTGAGACCATGGTCTTGATTCGGAAAAGGGTAGAAGTCCTTCTCCGGGTCAGGGATGAGGTCCTGCCCCAAGTGGAGGAGTTTAAGGATCTCGGGGTCTTGTTCACAAGTGAGGGAAAGCTGGAGCGTGAGATCGATAGGTGGATTGGTGCTGCATCTGCAGTGATGTGGGCGTTGTACCGGTCTGTCGTGGTGAAGAGAGAGCTGAGTCAGAAGGCGAAGCTCTCGATTTACCGGTCGATCTACGTTCCTACCCTCACCTATGGTCATGAGCTTTGGGTGGTGACAGAAAGAATGAGATCACGGATACAAGCGGCCAAAATGAGTTTTCTCCAAAGAGTGGCTGGGCTCTCCCTTAGACATAGGGTGAGAAGCTCGGTCATCTGGGAGGGGATCGGAGTAGACCCGCTGCTCCTCCACATCGAGAGGAGCCAGTTGAGGTGGCTCGGGCATCTGGTCAGGATGCCTCCTGGACGCCTCCCTGGTGAGGTTTTCCGGGCACGTCCAACCGGGAGGAGACCTAAAGGTAGACCCAGGACACGGTGGAGGGACTATGTCTCTCACCTGACCAGGGAACGCCTTGGGATTCCCCCGGAGGAGCTGGCCCAAGTGGCTGGGGAGAGGGAAGTCTGGGCCTCTCGATTTAGGCTACTGCCCCCGCGACCCGACTCCGGATAAGCAAATGAAAATGGATGGATCCGGATAAGCAAATGGATGGATCCGGAAAAGCAAATGGATGGATCCGGATAAGCAAATGGATGGATCCGGAAAAGCAAATGAAGATGGATGGATGGGTCGGATAAGCAAATGAAAATGGATGGATCCGGATAAGCAAATGGATGGATCCGGAAAAGCAAATGAAGATGGATGGATGGGTCGGATAAGCAAATGAAAATGGATGGATCCGGATAAGCAAATGAAGATGGATGGATGGATGGATCCGGATAAGCAAATGAAGATGGATGGAGATGGATGGATGGATGGATCCGGATAAGCAAATGAAGATGGATGGAGATGGATGGATGGATGGATCCGGATAAGCAAATGAAGATGGATGGATGGATGTGGATGGATCCGGATAAGCAAATGAGGATGGATGGATCCGGATAAGCAAATGAGGATGGATGAATGGATGGATGGGTGGGTGGGTGGGTGGGTGGATGGATGGATGGATGGATGGATGGATGGATGGATGGATCATGTACATATACCTGAAACAGGTGCATCTACTGATCCCCAAGTACGACTTACAAGGTAATAATTCCTACTAGAGACCACTGCAAATGTATTTATTAAACCAGTGAGCCACACATTTAAAGATCTCATGCACTTGTTTTTCAATAAATCTGTTTTGGTCTCCATTATGAATGCGTGCCTTGGGTTGTGGGGAAAAAAAATCGCTGACGGTCCTGTTTCAGAGGAGAGAAGGTCGTCGCAGGAGAAGAAGGACATCTAGACTGACAGTGGTCGAAGCAAAATGATTTTGCTCTGCTTGTTGGTGTAGCCACACTCCATCGGAGCCTCAGAAGGCCAGATCAGTATTATGCTTTGCCAATCACAGCACCCTATCAGTTTGGTGGGCAGGATGATGTGACGAAGCAGAACAACTAAGATGGCGGCAGCTCATTTGAAACAGATTTGACATCAACTTTGGACTATTTGGACTTGGGCTTACCTTTGAGTCAAGAGCAGACATGGGTACTCAAGTCCTGAATTTAGAAAAATGATGCATTTGTGTCTTTTTTGAAGGCATCTGCTGCCCTGTTGACTGACATCTGTAGCTGTACGTCTATTCACAATCTATTTTCTATCAGAAGCTAATGCAGGAGATGGGGATAGAAGACTATTTTCACATTCAGGCTGCACGTGACACTCAACAGTGTCTGATCATTTTCAAAAATAAGCGGTAAAAATGGTGTCTAAGCAAACCTGCTCTTTGAAATCTGCTCGGTGGGTCATGAAATATTTTGCTAAGAGACAGACAAGCGTGCATGCGCATGAAAGCAATGTGGCATGTTCCAATCACATGATTTCTCATCTGTTACATACATGACATGTAATAATCAAAAGGATGCTCCAGCCAAAACAAGGACCACCAGATCATCACCTTATTAATTCATGTCTGACTGAATCACAGCTTCTCACCTGTGGAGTCGTCACTCTGAAGGCCACCCCGCTGGTAGGGCCTGCAGGTCGCAGTGAGATGTTGTTCTGAGCCTGAGCTGGAGCTTGACCTTGGGCAAAAGCCTGCTGAGGAACCATGACCAGTTGTCCCACCTCGGTTCGCATCAACACCATCCCTGATGACCAGCAACGAACAAGAATTAGTGAAGGCACAAATACATCATTTCCACGGCTGGTGGCCTAACTCAGAGATTCCCTAAGTGTGGTGCGCGCACCCCCGGGGGTGCGCGAGCTGCCGCTAGGGGGTGCGCGACGTGAAAAGTGTAATGGCTGCGGAGCTCAGAGAAGTCTGTCATATGTCACCGTTAGCGTAGCCAGAAACTCATTTGTGGGTGGGCCTAAGAAAAAGTAAGTGGGCACAATAAATGTCATTGAAAACAAGTATATTTTTGTGCGCGCGTGTGTGTGTGTGTCCTCCGCATGTGCCCTAGCTTCATAATAACAATGCGCCAACTATATATATATATATAGCCATGCCCTGATGTGGGGGCTGGGGGGTGCGTCGACATGGTCGGGACATAGAAGGGGGTGAGCGGCTAAATAAGTTTGGGAACCACTGGCCTAACTAATGCCGTTTCCTGATGTTTAGGTGGTTTTGGAAAGAGTGACAAATATCCAACTACAAATCCCAGACTTTACTGAAGATAATGCGAGACTATCGATGTGAAGGTTGACCACAGAAAAATAAGCTGCACCTAAAAATGGTTACAAACCGCAGAAATGATGGATAACCATTTTTGTCCATCGGAGTGATTTCGTGAGGTCCCCTAACTGTGAAGTATTCAGTCTCTCCAGTAGGTTGTTGATGTAGAGTTATACTTTCTAACATTTTCATGCTCTGCACTAATATGCCTGTTCGGGCTAGCATTGCTCCGCGGTTAGCATTGCTGTGACCAACGGCTATATATAGCCAACGGTGGGTTAGGATGTGCACTGATTAAGGTATTAAATTATTTTCATCTAAATGCAGATTCAGGCAGAACGTCTGTCCTGATGATGCTCAATCTCGGAGCAGCTTTTGACTTTATGGACCACAACATCCTTCTTGATAGGCCCGCAACCCGGGTGGGACTTTCAGGCACATTCCAAAGTTGGTTCCAATCCTATTTTTAAGGCAGGGGGTATGTTGTTTCTATTGGTGATCACAAATGGAATCTGATCACCATGACATGTGGGATCCCCCAAGGCTCAATTCTTGGACCACTGCTCTTCAATCTCAACATGGTCCCACACAACAGCACTATTGCCTATCATAGTTATGCAGATGACACCCAGATCTACCTAGCTCTGTCACCTAGTCACTGTGGTCCTCTAGACTCACTCTGTCAGTGTTTGGAACAAGTTAATGACTGGATGCAGTCAAACCTCCTCCAGTTAAACACAGAGAAGACTGGATGTATTGTCTTTGGAAATAAGGACAGGATGGAGGTTACTGCTCAGCTTGGCTCCAGAGGAATAAAGACAAAGACCCAGGTTAGAAATCTTGGTGTCATAACTGATTCAGACCTGAGCGTCACTGCTCACATTAAGGCCATAACTAGATCAGCGTCTTATCTTCATCAAATGGCAAGACTCAGAGGTCTCATTTCAAGACCCAGAGAAACTCATTCATGCGTTCACCTCCAGCAGGCTGGACTATTGCAATGATCTTTTGACTGGGCTTGCCAAAAAAGCTGTGAAGCAACTGCAGCTTATTCAGAACGCTGCTGCTGGAGTCTTAACAGGAACCATGAGAGCTAAGCACATCACTCCTGTTCTAAATCGCTGGTTACCAGTAAACTACAGAATCCATTTTAAAGTGCTTCTACTAGTTTATAAATCACTCAGTGGTATGGGGCCTGAATACATGTTGGATCTCCTTCCTGTAGCCCAGCAGGGCTCTGGGTCAGCTGGTAGAACCGGGTCAGAACCAAACAGGGTGAAGCTGCTTTTAGCTGCTATGCTGCTCACAGATGGAATCAGCTTCCTCGTGACCTCAAATGTGTCCCAACTGTAGAAACGTTTAGATCAAAATTAAAAGCCCTCATGTATTCATCAGCCTCTGGGTGGGGGTGGGGGTGGGGGGGTTAGTCATATGACTAGCTTATGTTTATGTATTTAGCAGACGCATTTGTCCAAAGCGACTTACAAGTGATAATTGACCTTGAGGCTAACAACAACAATAACAACAACAACTTGACATCAATCATGGACAGGGGGGAACAAGGAGTGGACAGTAGGGGGGGGGGGGGGGTGCAGGGAGGGTGCTAGTTTAGAAGATGCTCTCTGAAGAGCAGGGTCTTCAGGAGTTTCTTGAAAATAGAAAAGGAAGCTGCTGTTCTGGTAGTGCTTGGAAGGTCATTCCACATTTGTGGAATGATGCATGAGAAGAGTCTGGACTGTCCTGAGCGTGGTGTAGGCACTGCTAGCCGACCATCCTGTGATGACCGGAGCGGCCGGGCCGAGACGTAAGCCTTTGCAAGAGGATTCAGGTAGATGGGAGCCGTACCATCTCGGACTTTGTATGCTAGTGTTAGCTATTTGAATTTGATGCGTGCTGCTAGCGGTAGCCAGTGGAGCTCAATGAACAGAGCTTAAATGTGTGTGGTGTGTGTGAATAATAATGTAAATTCAGCTTTAATCATTTTCATTCTATACAAAAAATCTGCTGATTCTAGAAGCATTAATCTCAGCAGATCGGTATTGGCAAAGATTGGTTATCGGACATTACAGTGAGATTAATATCGGATATCGTTTTTGGCGATACATTTTCATATCGGTGCGTCGCTTTTCTGCACTGTATTTGCTCACCCTTGAACTATAAATTGGTTTCTTTTCATTTATTTTTTTGTATTTTCTGTCATGTTGATTTAAATGCTGATCTTGCTAATGGAACTCATTAAATTGCCTCTGTGTATGAAACGTGCTAAGTAAATAAAGCTGCCTTGCTAGTTTAAGGGAGGAGATTTGTTGGTACATCTGGACTCCCCAAGCTGCCTTCCTATGTCCAACAACAACAAGGTAAATGTGGGTTTGAATTCTAGAACCCCCGATATGTTTAATTTATTTTTGTCAATCATCTGAAAAAGTTTCCTTTTTATATGAATCTACCTGACAACCTAATAATCAAACTACTCTACATTGTAAACAACATTTCAGGTGTCTAGGTTGCAGGAACATGACCACTGCTTTCATTATGACAGGCCTGTTCAAATGGCGGGCCACATCCGGCCCGCGGGCCCTACCCAGCTGGCCCACCTCACCCAATCCCCCCAACCACCAACGGAAAAAAACTGTTGAAAAACTGTTGTGGCATGCAAGTTTCTAAATTCCCACACTGATATTGCACTTGAACACAACACCATTTTAGCAATCACGGACATATATACGTAGACGCCCCGTGGACTGGTGCGGTCTATTGGAGCTGCCATAGTGTGGCTTCTACATATTCATGTCTATGTTAGCAGTGACCCAGCAATGACCCAGCCCAGCTTGTGGAGCAAACAAGCGCCTATCAGGCAAAACTAAACATGTTCGCAACTGACTTGATTGGTGAAAGAATGCTTCATTTTCCCCACACTCCGTAAAGCCACCTCTCCTCCGAAAGTCACGGCAGAAATGACTGGTTTAGTCGCGAAACTGAAGGACAACTTCGCCAGTCGCCTGGAGGATCTGTCACTTCCTGCAGCGGCGATGCAATAAACGAAAGATCCATTTGCTGCCATCGCTGAGGAAACATTGTCTATCAAAGCTAAGAAAGTGGTCTCTTCTATCGATGAGGGACAGTTCCTGCTGGAGTTGGTGGACATGCAGTCATCACTTACGATGCCACAAGAGCTGCGCACACATGGCCCCGCTAAGTTTTGGAGTCAGATCAATGCCCATCAGTTCCCAAACCTCAGGAATGTAGCTGCGACTGTTCTCAGTATGTTTGGATCCACCTATATTTGTGAATCCAGCTTTTCCCATATGAATGCAATCAAAACAAACCTGCGCTCCTCTCTCACTGAATCCTTTCTGCACTACTGTCTGCGTATTGCACTCAGCTCCTATGAGCCAAATATTCCTTTTCTTGTTCAAAACAAAAAGTGCCACCTCTCGCACTAAAGTTGCAAGAATAACGGTCGAGCTATGGTTATTGTAAATGTTTATTTAGTAGCTGCGAATGAGTTATTGGAGGTTAATAAAACAAATGTTTGTATTACCAGCTCTGCAGCTGGTAAATTAATACAGATCATTAAAGCAATAAAAGACATTGTGCATTGCTTTTTTTGTCGTTGTATTAGTGGTAGAGGTAATATCAAATATTAAAATTTAATATTTAAAGGTTATCCGTAAAATATATAATAAAGATTTGGGTATCCGGCCCAAAGCTGATTCACGAATTTGAAATCTGGCCCAGTAGGGAAAGTAATTGAATATGGTAAATGGCCTGTATTTGATATAGCGCCTTCTAGAGTCCTGGAACCCCCCAAGGCGCTTTACAACACAATCAGTCATTCACCCATTCACACACACATTCACACACTGATGGGGATGAACTACAATGTAGCCACAGCTGCCCTGGGGCGCACGAGACCAGCTGGGAATAGGCCTGCATTATGAGCTGGGACCTTTATTACAGAAGCACGGTCGGGTCAAGATGAAATGACATAAATTCAGGTTAGCTGCATCTTCTGTTACTTGGACCAAGCCATTATTAGTGAGGTCAGATGACTCGGAGCTGCATTCAAGGGCAGCACAGATTCCCTTCTAACCACCGACCACAGTTATCACCTGCTCATTTTCAATATTCTGCACAAGAGGAGCAACCAAGGTTATCGTAGTTTAATAATGCAGCAGTATAAGGGCCAGGAAAAGGATACGCCGTTGTCCTGTGCAACCACTTTCCATTTAGAAGACGAGAAATTTAATTTTCAAAGTAAAAACAGAAGAAAATTCCCAAATGTACTAAAAAAAATGTAGCTCTAAAGCCCACCCACCATTTTAGACGAGATAGTTACAAACAAAGATGTTGAGTATTAAAAGGTGTGGTGCACTTCCATACATTTGCGGGGGGGGGGGGGGGGGGGGATACCGGTGCACCATTTCCAGGAACTAGCAATTACCCACATCACAGCTGAGCTTCAGACGGCAGATTTTGGAGTCTTATTTCCTGATATTTGGAAATCTCTCCTCTGATTGGCTGACAGCAACAGTAAGCTCTACCACCGACTATTCTGCAAGGATGATGTTTTATCTCCACAAAATGTAGATTTGTTGTTAAATAAAAATCCTACTTTGACTTTTTGGTAAGAGTGTGAGCAAGAGTGTGGGCTGCATGGTGGCGCAGTGGTTACCACTGTTGCCTCGCAGCACGAAGGTTGCAGGTTCCAAACTCGGCTGCAGCCTTTCTGCTTGGAGTTGCGTGTTCTCCCCATGCATGCGTGGGTTTCCTCCGGGTACTCCGGTTTCCCCCACAGATCACAACACGCCCTATAGGTTATAAATTGTAAGTCGCTTTGGATAAAAGTGTCTGCTAAAAAGAAAAAACATAAACATAAGCAAGAGCTGGTCTCGTGTGTCTCTGATGAACTAACAAACTATCCCAGGAGATACCCGACACGACTCCAAACTCTTAAATGAATGGATGAAAATCTTGAACTTAGTCTGTTGGAGAAGGCACGAATCGAACATGACTTCAAGTCAGTTTACTGCTGCATTTATCAGTTTCTGTAACTAATCTGATCAAATCTTTTGGTGAAAATCGATTAATTTATGCAGAATATTTGATCCACCAGAAAAGTAAAAATGACTTTTCATGAGGCCTGTCAGGATCAAACTTACAGCGCTGAATAGACAGGCCATGAATATTTATACATTTAATAAGAAATCAAAACATCTGGAGGGCTTCTAGACCACAAACCCTACACCAGCCATCAGAACCAGGAGCATCTCACTTTGTTATTATTACATGTGTGGAACCAGCACCTCCTCACTGTGTTCCTACCCTTCCTGCAAACCTTACCAGCTGGGATGGTAAAGCCAGGGGGCAGCTGAATGGTAGCCTGCTGCTGGGAAGGTCTGACAATCAGCTGGGGGGCTACAATCCTTTGAGGCACTGCAAGTCCAGGACGGGGTTGAGTCTGTGCAGAGGTGGCTGCAACAGCTGTGGGAGAGGGGGCTGTGGGTCTGACCATGCTGATGGTGGTGGTGACAGATATGGTCTGAGATGGTCCACATGCTGACGTGGTTGCCAAACCTGCCACACATGTGGCAGGTGTTGAGGCAGGGATCAGAGGCGGGCTCACGGTGGTGGTGGTGGTAGTAGTGGTGGTGGTTGGAGCTGCTGTTGAGGTTGTTGCTGGTGTGACAGCAGCAGAGGAAGCCGAGGACACAGAGTTTATCACCGAGCTAACACTACCGGACTGGCTGGACATTACAATTTTGGACTGACAGTCGTCTGCGTTGGAAGCCCCAGTATCCGTGGTGGATTTGCTGTGCTCCTCCTGGGAAGCAGAGGAGATGGTGGCTCCCGGACGAGCCCCCTGCTGGGCCAGGGCCGAGACCGTGGTCCCGTTGCCGTTCTGGGCTATACTGGCTACTATGTGACTGGGGAGTCTGTGTAAAGCGATGGTGGGCGTCCCCCGGTCCAGAGCAATGGCAGCCTGACCCACAGGGAGGCTTGCGTTGGACAGCGTGAAAGTCGATGTGTTGATGGAGGATGTGACCGGTCTGGTGGAGTTTGATGGAGTTGTATCCGGCGAGCTGACGTTCTCGCCCACCGCCGTGTTGCTATTCCGCCTCGTCGTTATAGCTGCGCCGTTCAAACTCTTTAGCCGAGCCGAAGCGCTCCTCCTCGGTGCCGCTGTGCGTTTCCTCGGCGTGTTTTTCTCCACAGACGTCTCACCTGTGCTCGGGGCAGCCTTCGGGCTGCGGCTGGATGCGGTGCTGATGCTGTCGTGTGGCGGTGATGCCAAAGTTGACCCACCAGACGCGGTCACTGCTGTGACGGATGCTCCATGTGATTGAGAACCGCTGCTAGCAACGTTCACTGAAGTGGTGGGAGCCTCTCCAAAAACAGTAGCAGAGGCCGGTGAAGGAGCTGTGACAGTTTTATCCGGACTAGCGTCTTTGGAGTTCATTTCCTGGCGCATCTCAGGTTTATTAAGCTGTCCTTGTTGTTGTTCTAGTGTTGTTGTGCTCAGTGGAGCTGGTGGCGGTTTTCCTAAGTGATGGTTAGCCGGGTCCGCAGAGCCAGCGCCTCCGTTACCGTCAGCTTTACCTGCTGAGCTGCTTTGTCCACTAAGCTGTGACTCTAACGAGCCCACGAGGTCGCTGACAGCTTTTTCATCCACCTCTGAAAAGAGCATATCTTCCAGGGGGTCTGAGTCGCCCGCCATCTCTGATCACAGAGCTGCCTTATACCTCACCACTCTGCGCCTGCGTGTTACTAGGCATTCTGGGAATGAATCTGACGTCATTAAAGTAGTTTAGGAGAGGGGGAGTGAACGGAAGATCATCCGTGGAGCACACCAAGTAAAAAAGTAAAATACGTTTTTCCTGATTTTAACGGAGCCATTTTGTTTTAATTCGGTCTCTAAAATCTCCTACTGTAAAAGTTAGATAAAAAATCCATGACTTATTAGCTACCATCAGTCTTTATACATCGAGACGCCTGTAGGTGGCGCTATTTCAGATAAAAATCAAAATTATGCCAAGTTTAATGAATGATCTAGTCTAGTCATTCTTTAGTGTCCAAACAGAAATAAAGTTTTTTAGCTCCGTCAGTTTGCTTTCTGACCACAGCATGGATGTTTTAAAACTTTTCACCTTTACCAGTCCAAATTCAGTCATCTAGCACATTTCACCATTCAGGTTTAGCAAGATACACATAACAGTTCCATGTTTGGCTTCAGCTTCAGATAATAAAAATCCAATTCATTACAGTAGACATTCATTAGTGTGTGGGCATCTTCTGAAACCTATTGCAATAAAAATGTTGAACACATGCACTCGGCTCAAATGACTACAGCTGATGTAGGTGCAATAATAAAAACAAAAAAATAAGAGTTGGGACTTTATTTTACTAGGAACCAAATACTTTAAGGAACACTTAAACAGGTAAGTCTAAACAGGTAAGTCTAATAGCACTAAGGAGCACTTAAACAGGTAAGTCTAATAGCACTTAAACAGGTAAGTCTAAACAGGTAAGTCTAATAGTACTAAGGAGCACTTAAACAGGTAAGTCTAAACAGGTAAGTCTAATAGTACTAAGGAGCACTTAAACAGGTAAGTCTAATAGCACTTAAACAGGTAAGTCTAATAGCACTTAAACAGGTAGGTCTAAACAGGTAAGTCTAATAGCACTAAGGAGCACTTAAACAGGCAAGTCTAATAGCACTTAAACAGGTAAGTCTAAACAGGTAAGTCTAATAGCACTAAGGAGCACTTAAACAGGTAAGTCTAATAGCACTTACAGGCTAGGGAGGTCCTGGCCATTAACGAAGGAAAACAGGTAAATCTAATACTCTTCCTCCTCTTCCTCACCGTACACATCAAGGGAGTCAACTCCCACCTCCTCATAATCTTTTTCCAGTGCAGCCATGTCCTCTCGGGCCTCAGAAAATTCCCCTTCCTCCATGCCTTCACCCACATACCAGTGTACGAATGCGCGTTTCGCATACATAAGGTCGAACTTGTGGTCAAGTCGAGCCCAGGCCTCAGCAATGGCGGTGGTGTTGCTCAGCATGCACACTGCCCTTTGCACCTTGGCCAGGTCTCCTCCAGGGACCACAGTGGGGGGCTGGTAGTTGATGCCAACCTTGAAACCAGTGGGACACCAGTCCACAAAGTGGATAGTGCGCTTGGTCTTGATGGTGGCAATGGCAGCATTGACATCTTTGGGAACTACGTCTCCACGATACAGCAGGCAGCAGGCCATGTACTTACCATGCCGAGGGTCGCATTTCACCATCTGATTGGCTGGCTCAAAACAGGCAGTTGTGATCTCAGCCACTGTGAGCTGCTCGTGGTAAGCCTTCTCAGCAGAGATGACCGGGGCATAGGTGGCCAGGGGGAAGTGGATACGTGGATACGGCACCAAGTTAGTTTGGAACTCTGTCAGATCAACATTAAGGGCTCCGTCAAACCGAAGAGAGGCAGTAACAGAGGACACAATCTGGCTTATGAGCCTGTTGAGGTTGGTGTAGGTTGGGCGCTCAATATCAAGGTTACGGCGGCAGATGTCATAGATAGCTTCATTGTCTACCATGAAGGCGCAGTCGGAATGCTCCAAGGTGGTGTGAGTGGTCAAAATGGCATTGTAGGGCTCCACCACAGCTGTGGACACTTGAGGAGCTGGGTAGATTGAGAACTCCAACTTTGACTTTTTGCCATAGTCAACGGACAAGCGCTCCATCAGCAGGGAGGTGAAACCTGAACCAGTGCCTCCTCCGAAACTGTGGAAAATCAAGAAACCCTGAAGCGCTGTGCATTGGTCAGCCTGAGAAAACACAATCAAATGCCATAAATTACACTTTTTCAGGAAAAACACGTCAACTTATATGGTTGAAAATTTATCATGTTTTAATGTATGCTCACCAATTTGCGAATCCGGTCTAAAACCAGGTCGACCATCTCCTTCCCGATGGTGTAATGCCCACGAGCATAGTTGTTAGCAGCATCCTCCTTCCCGGTGATCAGCTGTTCAGGGTGGAACAGTTGGCGGTATGTTCCAGTGCGCACCTCATCTGAAGAGAAATACCCATTTAAGACCTGCCACTGCAGAAACGGGTGAGAACAGAACAGAATATACTTACCAATAACGGTGGGCTCAAGGTCCACATAAACCGCTCTAGGGATGTGTTTTCCAGACCCAGTCTCGCTAAAAAAAGTGTTAAAAGAGTCGCCTCCACCTCCAATGAGTTTGTCAGAAGGCATCTGCCCATCTGGCTGGATCCCATGTTCCAAGCAGTAAAGCTCCCAGCAAGCATTACCGATTTGAACCCCTGCCTGACCAACATGAACAGAGATGCACTCACGCTGGGAAAGAGGGAAAATAATTTACATGATTAAAAATTGTAAATTCATGCTAACTTCCTATGCTTGAAAAAAAAAATTAGGGATATGTGCTAGGCCAGATAAATCACGTGACGCGAAGAGCGGTTAAGACAAAAATCCAAATAGCTTTTAAACTGCTAAAAAAAACTTATATGCAGTTAAGAGGGAAATACATGATTAAAAATTGTAAATGTATGCCAACTATCCACCGTGAAAATTGGGATATGAGCTAAACGTTTTAACCCCCAGAAACCCAAATGTAGAAAACAACTGCAAAATCTTTTTTTAACCTTTCACATGTTGTTCTAGGAGGCCAGATAAACGGGCCTATTTACACATTTTAACAGCCAATAGTGTTGCAGAACTGAACAATAGGACCTATTAGCAATGTAAATGTGGTTTTAAAAAGAAAAAAAAACGGGGAAGTTTTATTTTTGTAGACTTAAATCTGATGTTGTAATATTACAACCGTGGGTCTCTGGGGGTTAAACGGCCAGATAGATCACGTGATGCGAAGGGCGGGAAAGAGAGGTTAGGCAACAATTGAATAGATTTTAAACTGCTAAAAAATACTTATAAGCAGTTAAGAGGGAAAATAGTTTACATGATTAAAAATTGTAAATTCATGCCAACTATCTACGCTGAAAAAAATAGGGATATGTGTTAAACGGCCAGATAGATCATGTGATGAGAGCAGTTAGACAAAAATCCAAATATCTTTTAAACTGCAAAAAAAAAAAAAAACGTTATATGCAGTGATAAGCTATCCCAGTGAACACAGAACGTTAAAAACCGTCAAAACGGACTTTGGTAGCCAGCAGATATTTTCTGTCCTGTGGTCAACCAAAAGCTCTCAACAGAAAAAAAAATGATTTAACCCTCTCAGGCTCAAATTAAGTTTTGATAAAAGAACAAACAACTAAGTCCTTCAGGCGTACTTCTGAGTTTAAAAATGCTCATGAAATATGTATGTGGAGTAACTACATAGGTAGGTTTTAACGTTGCAAATCACCAGCCTCTCAGAGGGTTAAACTTTAGTTTTCATCCCTCTACTAAACAAAACTAAACTTGGCATTTAAACTCGTAAAGTTAATGAAGATTCTTACCATTTTCGGTCGAAAGTTAAGAAGAAATCTGCTAAACGAATAGAAATTTCTAGCTGGCGTCCAGAAACTTTAACGCTCGCGCGCCTTTTTTATACAGAGGATTGTTCCATTAACTTTAGAGAGGGTGGACTGTACCACTGGCTGCAAACACATTAAAATTGAAACGCTGATTTTAATATTTATATTTTCTTCCATCAGGGATAACGTCTATATAATTGAAATACAAAATGTTGTTTTGAGGTATATCTGAGGTTAAAATCTTTATCCGATCAGTGTAGTTACGCATGATCCACAGTGGTACCAATATTAATGTCGACGGGTACCAACAAAGGGTACGTACGACAGAGGAAGGACTCTCTGTCGTACGTACCTGTGTATGTACAGTCTATGGGAAGGACTTTGAGCGGAAACTACAGCCCCCAGCATCCTCCGCGGCGGGGGGAAAGAAAATGAAATCGGCCATGTCGAGTTAAAAATCACGGAACGCTCGAATGTGGGGAGTAGCTTACTTTATGGTTATGTAGCCGTAAACCCCACGTTTTTTAAAGCTAAATATTCGATCTCTCGTTTAACAGTAAATACATTTTGTGGAAGCAAGTTCGTTGGTAAAAGTAGCGGGTAAACATGAGCGGCGGAGGGACGCCGTACATCGGCAGCAAAATTAGCCTAATCTCAAAGGCCGAGATCCGCTATGAAGGAATTTTGTACACAATTGACACTGAAAATTCGACAGTAGCTCTTGCTAAAGGTAAGTGTAGCCAGTAATATAGTGATTACAGCTGTAAAATTTTAGTTTTATCAAATATTTCAGATTTTTTAAATAGCTTCCAACGCAGTTAGCTGGTAGCTTTTAGCCGTCTGTAGGCTAAACTCTATAGCCTTCACTCGGGGGTCCTTTGTTTACTTAGTTTTTGACTTAATCTGTAAATCCAACAACATAAAAGTCGTAGAATTAAAAGCTGTTATGTTTTTCTGTACTACACGTTTTAAGGTAACAAATATTGATTCGGTGTTTTTTAAATAATAGTGAAGGGCTTATTTTTAATCCGTGTTTTTTTAACTGGCACCACTTACTTTCCCACCTTTTAGTAATTCAAAGACATGTCTGCATGAGCGCTGTTTCAAACATGCTTACATGAGATCATTGCGCTTTGTTCAAGCTAAAAAGATTGATAAACCTCCTTGGCTAACATCTGCTCTTTAATGCTTTTGTGAATTGTGTTCAAGCTAAACAAGTGAAAACTTTTTTTTCTGCTCCCTTCCTAACAGTCCGTTCTTTCGGCACCGAGGACCGTCCCACAGACAGGCCCATTCCTCCTCGGGATGAAGTGTTTGAGTACATCATCTTCAGAGGAAGTGATATTAAAGACCTAACCGTTTGTGAGCCACCTAAAGCTCCTAGTGCACTTCCTCAGGACCCCGCCATAGTTCAGGTGTGTGTGTGTGTGTGTGTGTGTGTGTGTGTGTGTGTGTGTGTGTGTGTGTGTGTGTGTGTGTGTGTTATGGTGATAAACTGTAAAAGCAGAAGGTTAGTGATTTTCTTTTCACGGTAATGTCATTACTCATATAATAAACAGTCGAATGGCTTACTGGAGTAGTGCTGCAGTTTCATTGGGATTAGATTAGATTTGCAACACCTGTGTATTGGCCATGCTGAGAAGTCAGTATTTTACCTGGTTTGGCTGAAAGTGTTGAATTAAATCGGATGTTTTGCTGCAACCATCACTAACATGGTGAACGTATCATGTGTTAACCAAGACACTGAAGGTATTTGCTGTAACATCCCTTTGAGCTTGAAGTGACACAGGTGTGTCCCGTTACAGCGAAGACCTCTAGAGCAGGTTCACCTGTCGGTGTAAACTTAATATTTATCAGATCACCTGTACAGGTTTTATATTTTGGCAAACTAAAAACAACAAAAAGCCAACTTTGTGATTTGTTTAAACACACAAAATAAATTTTTTGAGCAACACTACAACTACTCAGTTTTCAAAAATGTCATAATTGCTTTTTATTTTAAAAAAATTGCATAACATCAGCTGCTACAGTGACTGTCGCAACCTGTGTTTTATTTTTGTTTTTACATAATTTAGTCAAAAAAATAGCTCAGTCATTTTTACAGATGGCTTTCTTTTTCTAGTCATCGATTGGATCCACGAATGCTGCGTCTGCACCGTCGTTCCAGGCTCCCGGGTCCTATGCACCATTCAGCCGTGCACCTGTTCCACCATACAGTCAGTTCGGTGTCACGCCCGTTGGACCGCAGCAGTTCGGACAAGCTGGAGGCAAGTTAAAATAAAAAAATATACATATTTGTTTATGTTCTTTTTAGTAAAACAATTTCTTAGTTGCTTATCATTGAAATAATTAAATAATACATGTAATTTTAAAATACTATGCTCTGTACATGCCAGGTTTTAACTAGGGGGTGGGACTTTAACGCGTTATGATTAATTAATTAGAAAAAAATGACGCTTGGATTTCAAGCAAGGCGGAACCTTTGTCATTGCATGACTTCCCCGTGGACCGAATATCACTGGTGCACACAACAATGCACAGTGCTCTGTTAATGGCTGCTAAAACAGAATAAAAAGAGAGAAATTGCCTTGCTTGGACTGATGCATTATCTGGGAAACACGTCCGCCTCTTCCTGAAAACTACGGCGTCGTGTCGTGGACCTTTTTCAGGGATCATCTCTGCTGCTGCCCGGTGGCACCGAAAACTTTACAGAAGTCAAGCTAAGCTACATTTTTTACATTTATGTAACATTTGTGCAGCGCTGAAAGTACCAGGCAGAATACTTTTTTGCCCTTAGCGGCACCTGGCTGCAGCTGGGAAAATGCTCCGTGTCCTCACCTCTCTGTAAACAGCTACAAACGTGTCAAAGCAACAGAAACACTCTAAAATCTGTGATGGTTTTCTAAACAATTCTGACGGTTTATTAAATGTTTCTGAGACGAGTCACTGTCTAAACATCGCATCGTTGCTATCACTAAGCAGCGAGGTGACGCACCTCAGATGAAACAGTGGAAGCGTCATCATTCATCCATGGTGGTGAAGAAACGCTAAAATGTAGACTATGATGTCTCTGGCGATCCGGGTTTGGGCTGAAAGTGCTCGGGTCATTCCGGTTTCAGTCTTTGGGTCTGGTTGGGCTCTACTGCTGCACACGGAGGAGCTCAGAACAGTCAAAGAAACGTTATAATATAGTTTAGCTGTCAGCCTGTAGACGTTCTGCTGAACTTTATTCTGTTTCATGAACCAGGGTGACCTGGGTTTATGGTAAATTCAACTTTTAAACTGGGAGAAAACTTTTTGGTTACTAACCTGCAGAAATAAAACAGACGCAGCTACACTAACCAACATCCGTCTGCATGAGCGTGACCGTCAGAAACCAGACCAACTAACCTGAAAACTAACTAAAGTCATCGTGCTGGATGCCTTTCTGTGGTGGACGACACCGTGTTCAGCCCGCTAGCATCTAGCATCCGCTGCGAGTAATAAATAAATCTTTAATGCAATGACTCTGACGCTCTCGGGTTACCTGTTTAGGAGTCTTTTAGTCAGACTTCTGTTGGCAGTAAGCCGCGCCTTTTATCCACAGAACTGTTCAAAACAGCAGCTTAGCACATCAGCCGCTGACCGGAACCGTAAACAACCCTCTCCACCCACTGAACTGCCCTTCAAAATAAAACTAACACATAACATTACACTCGTATTCTTGCCTCTTAAAACCGTTACGATAAAAATACTATTAGTAATAATAATGGTATTGATAATAAATCTCACAACACAAAAATTTGATATTTTAATTAATTTATTTTTTTTTTTGCGTTCTTGCACTTTTACAAGTGTTTAGATCTTGTAACTCATTCGCTGCCAGCGTTTCTCACCGTTTTTACTGTTTTTTTAAGAGTCACAGAACGTTGCGCGCTAGGATGATGTCGACGCCAAAACAAAGAGGAGAGTCACCTCTTACATCAGGAAGAATCCGCGCGTTTCGAGCGTTATCCGTTCTTTCATAATCCGTTGTTGAATTGTGATCGGCAGAAGCTTTTCCGGTTCGCACCTCACTTTTTTTACAGCAGCGGCCCAAAACGATCTCCTAACACATGGATGTTCTGCTTCCTGAACACGTGACGTGTGACGTACGCGGATGAAGATCGGCTTTAGAGCTGAGATGCTTGTTCTCACGGTGCGGGGGCTCGTCCGACGCCCACACAGTAAAAACAAGCAAATGACGACTTTAGTCGTCAATGGCAGTGAACGAGTTAATGTTTTAAATCTGTTAGACTGTTACTGACAGCAGCTACGTTGTGTCCTGGGCGTGATCATCTCAAGAGATTTAATTGAAAACTTCTGGAATCTTCTGGTTATTACCTCTCATCCAAGAGACATTTTCAGCTCTAAACCCTGGGTTGTGGACATGAGGCTTAGAAGTCGTCGTCAAAAACAAACACACAAATTGTGCTGCAAGACTTTTTTTCTTTAAAATTTAAAAAATCTAAATGAATACAGGCCATTCAAGGTGATGCTATTGTTCCTTTAGTCTCAGATCATGTAGCCTGTAGCACTCATAATGTGCTTCATGTGATTGGTATCGGTGATCGGCCCATCCCCACCTCTCAAGTCTCACCCTTGGGTGTCTGTGACCCGGTGAGTCATGTGAAGTTGTTTTTGTTTGTAGAAGTTCCCGCTCCTCAGCTGGACTCTCTGACCAAAAAGGCCTCGGTGGAGCAGGCAGCTCAGGCCCCGCCATCGTCTGCCGCCCCGGGTCATCCGGCAGCACCCGTGGGTCAAAGGAGTCACGTTGGGTCGACGGTCCCGAAACCTGCCAGCGCTTCCTCCAGCAGCCAGAAACCTCCTGACCTCCTGGAGCAGAAAAAAGGTAAAAATAAATAAAAGGTGGTACCGTCAGGAACTGGACCAGAATTCCTTAATGTGGATAAAATAATTAGAGAAAGGTCGACCAGTCGGGTCTTTTAAGGGATGTTCAGACTGAAACCATCAGCTGAACTTCAGGGTAACGTCTAATTGGTCTTCCAGTCCTCTCAGCTGTTGTCTCCATTCAGATTCAGCCCTTTCAGAACTTTTCAGACGTCGGCGTATCGCGACCGCTTTGGCAGTGAGTGATGTCACTGATCAGCTCCCACAGTAACATTTACATCAAAACATTTATTCTATGGAAGTTTATCATGATTTAATTTAATCCATTCAGAGGACGACGGCTGCTGTATGATGTAGAAAGAGGCGTTCAATGACCAGAAGAAGTGCCGTATTTTACAGAGCTCTGTTAAGTCGTTGTGGGGAACTTCCTCAATTTTTCCAGTGTGGGGAGTTCAGTGACAGCGGTGGGGATTTCCGCCACGTTTTCCGGTGTCGGACGTTAAACTTCAAGTGTGATCGGTGATTATTTTCTTTTGCTTCCATTCTGCTTCCCCAGCAACTCTATTTTACTAATGTCGGTTGTTTTCGACATCCGCTGATGTCATTTCCTGCTGTGTTACAACCAATCAGCATGAGCTAACCGAAGGTTAGTACCTACTCCTGACCAGGTACCCGGGAGGTTCCTGGAAACGGCCTGGTCACGTGGAGACGCGCATGTCGGGGGGGGGGGGGGGGGGGTGAGTTTTACAACAAGGAAGCTGATGCTGAACAACACAGATGGATAATTAATTACTGACGTTACAAAATATTCGTGTGTGGGGAGGTCAAGTTCAGCTTTCCTTTTAGAAATTCTGTTAGTTTTGCTGTAAATATTCTTGTAAATTCTGTTATAAATGAATGAATTTATGTCCACTAATCTCAGTTTTACTCTAGAAAATGTTTTATCCGTTAACTTCCACAGTTTAATAATACATCAAGCTTATATAGCGCTTGTTTAGGACACTCAAAGATGCTTGCATGCACTCTCACATTCACACACTGCTAGTGATGGTAAGCTACTCTGTAGCCACAGCCGCCTTGGGGCGGTCTGACAGAGGCAAGGCTGCCATTTGGCGCCGTCGACCCCTCTGACCACCACCAACGCAGGGTTTTGTTGACAGGCTGATTTGCATAAACTCATTTTGTGATGAAAGCAAAGCTACGGAGTCTGAATGTTCACATCACCGTGTCTTCAGCGGTAACCGCTGCTGCTGATGATGAAGATGTGTCTGTGTGTCGTTGTTCAGCTCCTGAGGTCCCAAAACCGTCCCAGCCGGAGAATGAACACGGTGCCGTTGAAAACCGGGACCCTAACAGGCGTCACATTGGTGAGCACGTCTTTATTCGTAGCGCGGAGCGGCAGCGAGCAGATTCTAATGAACAGGTCACAGTGAAGACTAGCTTGTGTTTGATATTTACCCAAACATCAGAGCCTAAACCTGCGTTCTCTCCTTCCTCCAGCCGGGATCCAGTCGACCCGCCGCGGCCGCGGCAGAGGGAACCGCAGCAGAGGCAGAGTAAACATCCGTAAAGACGGAACAGTGAAGTTTGACGAAGATTTTGACTTTGAAACCGCCAACGCACAGTTTCACAAAGACGAGATTGACCTGGAGCTCCAGAACAAGCTGAAGCTCAAAGGTGCTCCGGACCCAAGCAGCACCTTCATACGGTTCTAATTCTGCTCTGAGTGTTTGTTAATCTGACCCGCCTGCACGGCCGTGTCTTCCTGGAGTTGAACGATTGAGTTCCCGAGTCCTGACCCTGCTGACCCAGCTGTGTAAACGATGTTCGCTAACGTTACAGCGCATTAAACCTGTCCAACTCTTCATCATAAACAGATGACAAACCAGAGAAGGCGCTCAACGGAGAGGAGGCGGCCGACCCCGAGCATCCGGCCACCGAGGGGACGACCGAGGAAGACCAGGCTGTGATTAACAGCTGTTACTACGACAAGACCAAGTCCTTCTTTGACAACCTGTCCTGTGAGGATGCCAGGTACCGACTCGACCGCTCGGCAGATGTTTGTCGATAACGTTACCAAACCAACTTTACTTCTATAGCACAATTTAAGACACCGCGTGGGAGCTGACTCAGGTGCTGAACAGGCAGGATCTATTTAAACAAAACAGTAAAACACAACAATAAAAACTATAAAATCATAATAGGATAACATGAATCAATGTCTAAAAGCCAAGTGAGAACAGTTGGTTTTTAAACAAGATTTAAAAACAGGCGGAGGGGATGCCAGCCTAACTGTAATGGGCCGTGAGTTCCAGAGCGTGACGGCGGCGTGGACAAACGCACGTTCACCTCGTGGTTTGTAGGCCAGCCAGGGAGTGCAAAGCAGTAGACGGTCAGCTGACCTCGACATACGAGTAGGTACATGGGGAGTCAGCAGGTCGGACGGGCAAGGAGGAGCTAGGTCGCGTAGGGCTTTAAAATCAAACATCAAGATCTTAAAACGCACACCAGACGTGATGGAGAGCCAGTGAAGACGTTCCAGGACTGGCGTTTACTGTTAAGACCGAAACTTGTGTGTTCTGGTCGTAAATGTGTGAGTGTCCTTGATGTGGGTTCTTGGAAAGTTTGAGTCTAACTTTAGTGCAGATTCAGGAGCCCGATGAACCTTTAGCTGTTTGTTTGTAATCGTTCCTGGATCAGAAGTTTGGGAATGGGCTGCAGAATCTGTCGTCCGTCCGTGTGATGGTCACTGCCACGTTAAAAAGGCTCCAAACTTTGCATCGCGTGTTATTTTGACATAAATCTGCTGCTGGACTCCCTGGATACACCGGTAGAGCTACACTCCACTGCTGTTGATGTTTATGCTAGAAAAGAGGAGCGGTTTTAAGGAGGAAGTCGTGTGCTCTGGTGTCGGCTGAGCCGCGACGCTCATCGGCTGATCTCGTTGTGTTTAAAGCTTTGATGTTCGTGAGTGAAGCCTCGTTTCTCTGATTGTGTTTGTGCGTCAGAGATCGCAGGCCGACCTGGGCCGAGGAGAGACGGATGAACGCCGAGACGTTTGGCATCCCTCTCCGGTACCACCGAGGAAGAGGAGGGTTCCGTGGCAGAGGGTTCCGCGGCAGAGGGTATGACGGGCACCGCGGGGGTCGGGGCAGACCCATCAGCAGAGGTTCGTTTGGCCTCCCCAGAGGTGCCCCGCCCGGTTTTAGAGGCGGCAGAGGAGGCCGCGACTTCTCTGATTTTGAATACAGGGTGAGTTTAATCATTAGTCCTTAAAGAGCAAGTCACCCCCCCACCAGATTCTTACTCAACTCCCACTTCCTGTTTGAAAAATGCAACAAATGCTGTTGCCTAGCAGACCGAGAGGGCGGAGCCGCTAACAAATACACACACTCACGACATTGTGACATCATAATGTACCAGTTTACATCATAGCATACCTCTTAGCCAATAGCGACGGCAGATTTTAATTCAAATGCGGTGCTGAGTTTTTACCTGACGACAGCGCATCGCTGACAGTTTTAGGCAGAATATTTAAATTTTAACCAAGATGCACTAAAGTGCCGAGTTATTGACTACATTTGTCTGCAGCACAATCGGACACTCATTTATATCGTTTATCAGCAAGAAAATGTTGATTTGGAGTGACTTGCTCTTTAAAGAGCAAGTCACCCCCTACAAGAAACTTACTTCACTCCCACTTCATGTTTGAAAAATGCAACAAATGCTGTTGCCTGGCAGACCGAGAGGGCAGAGCTGCTAACAAATACACACACACACAGGCTCACAATGGCATTATGACATCATAATGTACCAGATGACATCATAGCATACCTCTTAGCCAATAGCGACGGCAGATTTAAATTCAAATGCGGTGCTGAGTTTTTACCTGACGACGGCGCAACACTGACAGTTTTAGGCAGACTATTTGAATTTTAACCAAGATGCACTGAAGTGCCAAATTATTGACTACACGTGTCTGTAGCACGATTAGACACTCCTTTATATAGTTTATCAGCAAAAAAAATGTGATTTGAGGGTGACTTGCTCTTTAAATGAGGCATGAAAGCCAGATAAACGAGTCTAAACTGGTTTTGTTCTGATTTCTACAGAAGGACAAGGTGGCTGCGTAGTACGCCGCGGCGGCGGATCCACCGAGAGTTGTAGCCGCTCGTCATGAATTTATTTCTGTGTAGAAGATTTGTGTTGTCTCGGCATTGGACAGGAAGAATGAAGACGTGGCGTCAGACACCAGCACCTCAGTGGACCGTTGACGTGAGCGGGGCGTCGGCTCCAATCCCTCTGCTCCGCTTTGAGACTGTTGTTTCGTTTCCTTGAAGTTTGGTTCAACACGCAGCAGACGGACACGACCACCTGTAAATACAAAGCTTTGGAGTAATTCTGTACTTTTGCATCAGTCAGATTCACTTCCTACTAAAGTCTTTGACGCTGAGAGCTGGACGCACTCTTCCACCGTCAGCGGGATCGATAGCTTTATTCTTTCTTCACTCATATTTTATTGGCACCAAATTAAAACGCCGGTTGGTCTTCATGTGTCCAGTAACTTTACACGTTGCGCCCCAACATCTGTTCGACTTCAGTGAAAAATCCAGATAAAGAACCTGAAATTGTCCACCTGTTTCGTAATGAATGTACATTTATACCTCCCACCTATGGTTTCTGAAGCTGTGGCTTTCACGTTTGCAGTTTCAGCCCTCAGAGCTCTGATGTGGCGTCTAAACACACACATCTGCTCATTTGTAGGAAGTTTTCCAGTTCCTAGCAAGGTTGACCAACGCTCTGCTGTTTTGCCAAAAAAATGTTTAGAAAAGATAAATTTTCATTTGGTTCTTTTGTGTTTCCGTGACTTTCCTTTGTCAGCGTTTACCACTGCAGACGCGCACGAGTCGTCCACCGAAGATGGAGTTTTTTCTTCTATGAAAAGGATGAAATGAGGTCTTCGAGCTCGTTTGCTGCGTTTCTGGCCTGTTGTCGCCCTTTGGCTTGTTTGTAGCTCCTCGCGTTACTTTAGTCTGGGATTGTTCTCAGGAGTGGATTTATTTTTTTACCGACTCGTGAACAAAAGGGACAAGAACTGGATGAGGGGCCAGTATTTTCAAAGGGGGGTTTCTTCATTTGGATTGGTCATTCGTTTTGGGAGTGCCTTGAGTGGTGATGATTATAACCTTCCACACACACACACACACTCTCCCCCTTTAACTTAAATGTTACATTCTGCCGGCTGTGCTGCTAGCACTACAGGACAAACCTCCACAGTTTTCTGTAACAGATTAGAAAATCAGCTGTTTTGATTTGGGAATCGCAAACGGCTGATTCTCACACGAAAGCTCGGTGAGCCGTCGCTTTATGTTGACTAACGCCGTAAGCAGGAAAGTTTAATTTGGGACAATATTATAATTGAATTATTAAAAAACTGACTTAATTTCATGTTTGCTACATTTTCCAGTCACTGGGTGTGTTTTCTTGATTCTTAGCAAAGTTGAGTTTTTACAAAAATAAAAATAAAGAGTTAAACAATTTGCATGAATCTGTCTTTTTTTCCCCTCGGGTCTTTTCGGTCATTAACATGTAAGAAAAAAGGTTTGATGCCAGCAGCTGGATCTGTTCGATGTGGGATTATGTCCGTGCCTCTGAGGAAAATGGGCAACTTAAGTAATACAAAAGCTGTGTTTCTCAGAATGTAAAAATTAATATTACTAACTAAATAACAAATTTGAATAGCAATTTATAATTGTGTAATTAGAAATTCCTACAGTACTGTAGAGAAAATTAATTGTTTGAGAATAGTTTTTGTTGTCCTTTACAATAGTGACATCTAAAACCGTTACATTAAAATAAAATTGTAATTTTGCATTAGTATTTGGATATTTTCACACAACTAGACGCGAAAACTGAAAATTTTTCTAACAGTTAGCCGTTGTCTGTCCGCCAGATGGCGCTTAAACACACAACAGCCGTTAAATCAGGCGAAGAAGAAGAGCGGAAACCGCGTTCTGATGTAAACGTGTTGGACGAACTAAATTAATTCTAAAATGTCGATTGTTTTTGTACCTAAGAAGCTTCGAGGGAAGGCAAAAATCAACCAGGAAACGATACAAAGGGTGAGACACCTTCGAAGATGTTTATTAAGTGGTTTAAGGAAGCTGGTTAGCTGCTACCAAGCTAATGGCTAACTGCTAAGCTAAAAACAAAATAGCCTCATTTATTTAGCGTCATGAAAAGGTCATTTCTGCACCTGCAGTTCTGCTGTTTTTACTTTTTAAAGATGGAAACGTATTTTCTAAACGGCATTTGCTGTTTTTGCTAGTTGTTAGATGAAAACGATCAGCTGATCAGATGCATCACGGAGTACATGCAGAAAGGACGAGCGGTGGAGTGCGTGCAGTAAGTTTTAAAGCACAATCTTATCGTCACATTCTGCTACTCTGCTCAGTTTTTGAATATTTTTGTCCTTTTAAAACAGATACCAACAAATTCTCCACCGCAACATCGTCTATCTGGCTACGATTGCAGATGCTAGTCCTGACGACAGTCCGCCACTGGCTAATGTAGGCAACCAGGCTCCAGTCACTAAAATATTAATATCAGTAGGTCTTAACATCGTTTTCTGTTTGTAGGGCTCCACCTCCACTCCTGATGTGAACAGACATTTGGGGGGACAGTGACGCAGGTGTGTGTGTCTTGATATAAACCAGATTTTTATAGTTAATGTGCTGTCCAAATTAATCATTTTGTAATCTATTCAAACCGTAAACTTAGTATTCCTGTTTTAAATACTGTGTTGTTGACGTGGCTGCATATTCACCTTATCCTTGTGTATCCAAGGTTGGGTCCTAGCGGGGTGGAGGGGTGTAACAGGTCCAGTGTAGAAGCCCGGGCATCCATCTGTCCCACATTGTTCCCGAACTAGATGACAGGTAAAACAGCAAAACCTAGAATGTGACGCAAAAGTCCATTTATGTCAGTAATCCAGCTCCGACTGAGAGACCATCTAAAGGCTCAGGAACTCTCAGCAGGTGTTCTGGGTTCATTAGTTGATTAGTGTGTCCCTTTGAGTCTGGAATATTGAACCATTTACAATATTCTAATTGAGATTTTGAATGTGGGGTTTTCATCAGCTGTAAGACGTGATCACAATTAAAACAAAAGCTTGAGAGAGCTTTGCGCGGAATGAAAATACGGCATTTATTAGTTTCACCTTTAAGGCTGAATTACTGACATATGAACTTTTGTGCCATGTTCTAATTTTTCGAGTTTCTCCTGTATATAATCCAAGTTCTGGCTCTCCTAGAGATGCCCAAACCACCTTAGCTGATGAACAGCTTCTTCAGATGACGGAGCTCATCACCCCCAGCCCCTACAGAGGAAGCTCGTTTCAGCTGCTTGCATCCTGGATCTCCTTAAAATCTTCATTTAAATCTCACGTCTACAGATGGGAACAAGGTAAATGGACCACCCATAAACCCGCATCCTGCTGCCATTCACGACCTCAACCACTGCAGGGCTGTACAAGCTTGGAAGATGAATATTCTGCACCTTTTTCACGAATCCAGCTGGACTGAATTTAAACCTGTGGAGCTTGCACTGTTGTAGTTGATGCTGACCGAGCCTCTGCTTGTTGACCGGGGCATTCGTCTGATTTCTACATTAAAGTTTGTTTTTCTGATAATAAAGAGTCTTGCATCTGAAATTGCTAGTTCTTTTTATTTGTTTTTTGCATTGCTGGTACACTTGGAAAGAGCCAGTTGCCAGCTCAAGGGAATAATATGCAACATAAGCCAAGCAGTCCCCCTTCATGTTTACTATCAGGGAAACACGTTTGTATTATTTCTCAACCTTTTCTAGAAGCTGCTAGTAAACCTTTTTTTTTTTTTTACACAGCTGAGAAGCTAACAGTTACAGTCCAAGGTCTAAGGATGTCTTAAAAAAAAGAGGCTGCAACAGTAAGAGGGAGAAAACAGACAAAAAAAGCAACAAACTATCTTGATTGTGCAAAGCACATTAACTATAAAAAGATATATTTATATTTATATGTATGTACAGCAAACAATTCTCTGTAAACATGTTAAGTATGTTAGTTATCTGAAAACATGGTGTCTTTTCATAAATACAGGCAACATTGGCATCCGCAAACATCACAAAAAGTTAACATTCTGGGCTTTTAAATGCAGCCCGTCGCCATAGAAACCGCAGGGACAAGGGCTGAGAAAAAGCCCCCCTCGTCACACAATGTTTTAGTGTTTAGCGTGGCGTATTTGGTAACCTTTGTAGATAAAATGGTGTAGTTTAAACTCTGTAGAAAAGAAATGTGCTTTTCACATCTTGGGAGGTGGGAAAGAATGTTTAACGTCAACAATACCAACACGCAGTTGTGGTTTAACGTGTAAGAAAATACAAAAAGATTAATACTGTCAACTGTTCACAAAAAAAAATATTGTATCATTAAACCAAAAGGGGGCGGGGCTAGTGTGAATTTGGAGTAAACTGCCAATTAGAGAGCTGGGAGTGAAGACTAGCACGGCCATCCGGTTAGTGGAGAATCTCGGACCGCAGCGTTCGTCTGCACAACACTGGTTTGAAATAATCATCTGCAAGTGCTTTGTTGACCCACATGGCACATAGTTCCAGCTACACGTCTGAACTCTGGTCAGGTGATGAAAAAGTAGTGTATCTCTGAAACGACACCTCTGCAGTGGCTTACTATATTTATGCTGAGCCTGCTCAAAGCCTCTCCATAAAAACAACCACATATTTATATTTCAGCTTTAGTATTTTACAAGTTATGAAACAGTAGATGGTAGCTGTACTCCCAGTCATCCTGCGTGAGATTTGGCAGTTACAGCTATGAAGACACAGTATACTTGTGGGCAGAATGAGAGCATTTCAAGCTCTGGCCCTCTCGTAGTCTCAACACACACACACACACACACAGCTGCAGAAGCAAGTGGGTGTCGGCCGAGCGCGTCTCCAGCTCTCGTCTGAGGAAACGTCGGCTCAACAGACAGAGAAACGACCGCTAGGCTAACTCCTGCTAGCATGACACATGCACCTCTCATTGTTAAAACATGGCAGTTCAAAAAATTTCAAAATAGGTTATTTCTGATTTTCCAAACGGGATGTTTGACATGGAAAAATATAGATAGAAAATCGTTGAGCCGGTGTGTTAGCTTAGCGCCGCTGAAACCTTCTGATCGGGGGACGAAGACAGATGTTTGCGGCTCAGACTCGTGTTGACCAAGCTGCGGGTCGCCAGCGGCGCTTTGGGCCCGATTCTTCAGTACTGGTGCAAGTAGGAGGGCCTATGCTCGTGTTTGAGGGGGAAGGATTTGAAGCCCTTGGTCATGGGTTTGTGTTGCTGCTGCTGCTGGATGAAGGGAAAGCCAGAGGACATTCCAGTGGAGGGGGGGCAGTCACCGGCGGTCGACCACACGGGAGACTGCAGCATCTGCATGGAGTCGCTCCACTGGGAGGAAGGAGGCAGGTTCATCTGGTACAAGGAAGAGCTGGGATTGGGCATGGTGTTGGTCTGAGTGGTGTGCTGCCATGGCGCTTTGGGGGGCCAGGTTTTAGTTTTGCTGTCCTGTGGAGCCGAGCGAGTGGTCGGACAGTTAAGACCCTAAAACATCACCGATAATTCTCTCTTTCTGCATACTTCACCTGGTTATCGTCACCGATGTGGTGCAGCGGTGGTGATGGGAGGGTGCACACCTCCGGCTCTCCACAGCTGTGCTTCCTGCAGGAAGAGAACACGCCATTAGACCTCTGATGATCCGACTCAGTCAGAAAACTCGTGAGCTCCTCGTTAAAGTTTCATCTTCAAAATATCTCAATGACATCATCTGGAGCTCTTCAGAAATGGACAAAAATCAATCTGTGGCTTTATTGTGACGGGGAAATGACCCAGCAGCCACCGAGGTGATGAAGCCTCACAAATGTCTCTATACCTGCAGCATTTCTAATGAAACATCTACGTTTCCGTCACATTTATTTATTTTTTTCTCAAATGAGATTCTACTAAGAAGGGTTTTGACCAGCTAGAACCTCACCTCCTTTGTTTAACTGCCGCTACGAGGTCCGGCCCAGAGAACATGGAGAACAGGCTGTCGCCGTTGGCCGACGACGTCTCGTCACTGGAGCTGGCCGAATCTCCCTGATTGGCTGACCAGCCGCTGTTCACCGCATCACTGAGGATTCAAACACAACGTGTGTCCGCAGGTCTAAAAGGTGTTTTAATTTACAGCAGGATCAGAACCAGAGTGAATAAGGAAACACCCGTGGAACAGAGCGTCCTGTAGCTAACGGGTTAGCGCCCGAGTCGTCTCAGGATTTAAGGTGACGGAGCCTCACCGTGTCCGCCACGTGAAGAATTTCATGAAAACACAGCTTTGTTTTAAGTAACTCTCCATCACGGCACGGCTTCCCAGGCTAATAAAGTTTGATTTAAACCCAGGAAGAGTCGGCTGATGTTGTCATCTCTTATCCGTTCCAGCGCTCATCTCCACCGAAGTCCTCGTGCTAAAACATACACGTTTATGTTTACGTTTATGTATTTAGCAGACGCTTTTGTCCAAAGCGACTTGTTGTGTGTGTTTGTTACGGCTCCGCCCTCTCGGTCTGCTAGTCAACAGCATTTGTTGCATTTTTCAAACAGGAAGTGGAGTAATACTCTGGTAGGGGGTGACTTGCTCTTTAAGGGAGAGAGCGGAGCCGCTAACAAATATACACACACACAGGCTCACAACAACATTGTGACATCATATGGTACCAGCTAACGTTCTAGGGTACCTCTTAGCCAATAGCGATGGCAGATTTAAATTCAAATGCAGTACAGTTTTTACCTGACAACGGCACAACACTGACAGTTTTAGGCAGAAAATTAAGATTTTAACCAAAATGCACTAAAGTGCTAAACTATTGACTACACGTGTCTGCAGCACGATTAGACACACATTTATATAGTTTATCAGAAAAAAAAAAGTTGATCTGGGGGTGACTTGCTCTTTAAGCACCCGTACGAACCCGGTTTGGTGTATTTAGTTTCGGGGACCTGAAAATTCAAGCATTTTGAAGGATTTTAAGCTGCATCCTGCTTACAGGAACTGTGGTAAAAATCAGGAGCCGGTTTAAGAAGGCTCAAACTAGCCGTTAGCTCATCAGTCCTGAAGGATACAAACTCTATTTCTCTGAGCGGAGGCTGTTCGGGAAAGTTTGTACAGCCATTTTTACACAAACACACACCCGAACAGCAGGAATATTCCTCTGATGAAAGTGACAATGAGGCTTAAAACAAGGTGAGATTAGAGTTTTATTAACATGCATTCTTACCAGATTAGGATTATTATACCACTTTACAACTTTAGGGGGAGAAACGACACATGCTGTTGTTCATCAGAGGCATTTATGTAAATTTCAAACCTGGTTGAGGTA